AGTCTTGCTTCAGATCTGAAAAACCACCACCTTATCCCCTTCTATCAAAAGTGATGTGAGTGATACGCAAGGCTATCACACATATAATAAGGTGGGTGAGTGTTACGGATAAAGGTTGCTCTATCTGGTAACGGGTCCGGTGTACCGTGGGATAGGTTGGCGATTTTGGGTACACTCCGTAGGGCATGGTGTGCTGTAGTGCTGCCCTGTACTAGTACAGCATCACACTCGTGATATGGCGACGTTCGTAAAACGGGCTGCCGTTGCATGGAGCCGAAAATTGGCCAGAGCCTCGGAATTTTAGTAGTATGCAATAGTGGTCATTTTCACGAGCGTCCCCATATTATGAGCATGGTCCTGTACGAGTGAGCTTAGCGCGGAATGGCGAGCGGAAAGGGAGTACGGTACAGTACTGGCAACCATGCAAACCGCGCCATGGCACTGGCTCCGCTCTCCCCTTGGATAAGTTCTTGAGCTGTGAGAGGGAAGGAAATCCCGAGAACCAATGATGGCCCATCCCAGAACAATCGCAGGTAACCCCCCCCTCCATTAATGGATCGTCGCCGAGGTACTTTGCATACGATATTGGGAGCCCAGTTTTTTCATGAATCCCTACCGGCCGTCCCACCTGCATTTGCACAGCACAAACCCCTCCGAAAATTCCCCGAGTCAACATTGCCGGCGAGATCTCCCTCCCTCCACCCGCCCAATACTCGTGCAAACGGTACTTCAAGATTGAAAGGGGGCAAGATCTGGAACAGCTCCACATCCATCAAGATCCCATCTCCTCCCGAAATCTGTGGGTAAACACTGGACTGTTTTTCCAGTCCGTGGATGCCACCACGAACCTGCTTACCGCACTCACCCTCTCCCGCTACCAGCCTCGTAATGCAGCCGTGCGGTCGCCGGGAGGGGGAGGGCTTGCTTGAACGCAGGTCATTTTGTTTGTGGTAATTTTCATGCCACGTGGCACTCCATCCTCTCGATTGGTTGGCCTGGGGGTGGAGGAGATCTCCGGTTTGTGCACTTTACGGCCACCTTTCTCCCTCTAGTTACGGGCCCGTAGGGTGGGCGGAATTTGGCAGGTGTGATCCGGGTTTTTGTTACTCTATCGGGTTGTCATGGTGGCTCCTGGAATTTTGTTTTTGCTTTGTTTTGGGTGAGGGAGAAATGCGGTTTCTGGCTTATGATACTTGTTTGTTTGTTTCACTCGATTGCTGAGGCTGATATTTGCAGTGCTGTGTGAATTATGTATCTTTGGGGCTCTCCTTATGGTATCATGAATTTAAGTTGTTGGCGGGGGTACCGGAAGAGTATGTGTGATTCAGTATTGCGCATGCGATGGTCGATTAGTTGATTGATTGATTGATTGATTGATTGATTGATTGATTGATTGATTGATTGATTGATTGATTGATTGATTCTTCGACGTCTGTGTTGCGGATATGCAGACGTACGGTGCGTGATGGTTTGGACGCCGCATATCTTACACGGATTGTGGCGCTGCCACGATACCGTAAGTCCAGTGAGATTCAGGGATGACCCGGATTGTTCCCGGGTGGGAGGGATTGCCCGGTGTTATTGTTTTTTATATGGTGGGGTAGGAGTGAGTGGGTGGCATGGCACTGATGTACTCTAGGAAATGGGTGCGGGCGCTAGTGCTATGGCCGGTTTGATGCCAGGGGTTTTTCCGGCCGCTCCCGGAGTGGGGGGCGGGTGGTCCGGAAAAACTATATTCTCTGGGTATGATACAGTGCTCGAGCGCTGCTCACGCTACATGATGCGGCGGGGAGCTCTAGTGGATAGATGGGGGAGGGGGGTGGCGTGTAGTTGGCAAGGGAGTGGTGATGGTGAATGCATCATATCATGAACCTGGGCTGCAGCTCCGGTACATCAGGGTACGGCCCGGGACGTCCATCGTCTAACCGTTCCAAAGACACAAATGGTGTGGTATGGTACGGCGGGTATCATACTTGAACGGCAAGATTCGAAGGGGGCGGCTGTGTGGACATGGATTGGACATGCTTATTGCCGTTTGTAGCTTTCGTTGCTGGGGAGAAGTGTTTGGGGGGTTAGTTTTTCACTGGTAAGATATGTTACTTTTTGACAGTGGGGGGCGCATACAATGCACCGGTATGATATCTACAGGGATAGAGGCTTCTGTACTACTCTAGAGCACAGCACCGACACGGTATCGGAGTATTATCATCACAAAGTGCCAGTAGTAATAAACATGGCAAAACAATCTCACACATAACCTGGAACCAGGCACCAGGCACTGTCCGCCCAAAGCCTTCCCTCCCTCCCGTACCCCGTGATGGGCTCGTGAAACCCAGTCGCGGTGCTAAGCGTGCCCACTACCGGTACTCCCCTGCCCCCCTCTCGCATCCTTATCTATCCCCCTTACCACCAACGGGCGTGATACGATACGGTACATGGTACCGTACGGCTACCGGTACCAATATTGGCACTCCGGTGTTCCAGTGAGAAGGGGTCGGAAAACTGTTTCCGCTGATCTCAATTCTCGATACGGACACGCGTTTTGTTTTCCCATTTTTGCGGACTCACCCGAGGACTGGCACTAGGGCCTACAACTGACATATTACGGACTCTCCCACATCTTACGTTACACACAGACACATACAGTACGCGCACCGTGGTCGTGCGAGATCCCAGATTCGATAGCGTCTGTGGAATCGAGGCGCCACCCGATCTTATTCCTTATGAGGGGAGGGAAGAAGGAAAGAAATGGCGAGAGTGGAGGTTTTGCATGGCTGGGTTGTCCAAGGTAGGGGGAAGAGAGGAAAGTGTCTTGTGATCAATTCGCCCTTGCTTTCTTTTGGTGGTTTGCTAAGTCAAGTTGGGGAAGAAGAGGGGAACGGGCGGTAGGGTACGCTGCTCGAGAATTCATATGATAGATTCATTGGATTTTCTCGAAGGTCCTTCGCTCCTTCTTCGGGAGTGAAGGAAAGAAAGCAAGAAGGGGGGGGGTTCTCCCCTAGGGGCTCACTGAGCCGGATCAGCTTCCCAGAGTACTCGAGTACCAGTACTTGTACCGTACTGGGTTACCTCGGAAGTCACAGAAAGCTAAAGCCACGCGATCAGATCGAAAACTCCAACATCTGGGGAAGCACAACACAATCCTTCCATGTGTGGGAAGAAAATTTTCCCTTCCCTCCCCTCTCCATTCCATTTATGAGGGGTTAGCTTTAACTTACCCCATTCGTCTACCGGTACGATCCAGCGAATTCCCCGTTCGTCCCGTGTGGTGGGTGAGAAGGGTGTCTCCCACGCGACATTTCGTTTTCTCATTAAGTGCTCACTGGAGGGGGCACAGGTGCGGGTGAGCTCGGCGAGCATACACGAATCATAAGAGGCAAAAGCCGGCAGCGCGTGTAAGAGTTTTCGCCGGGTTTCGCTATGGTGTGGTCTGGGGTACCCGTGTGAAGGAGGGAGGGAGGGAGGGAGGGAGGGAAAAGAAACAAAAAAAAAAGAGAAAAGGAAATATCACAAAAAAAAGAACGAAAGAAAAAAAAAGAAAAAAAAAAGGAAATGAGAGAAAAGGATGATGGGGAACTGGCACTAGTACTAGTACAGTACTGACAGGATATGGTGGTACAAGTACGATGCTGCGCTATGTCTCAGCGGAAAGAAGGTGAAGAAGAAGAAGAAGGGCGAGGAAGCATGGCTCAGCCCCCACGGTTGTCGGCCAGTTTCATCGGTTACATAAAACTTTAACGGCAAGCAAGCAAGCGTCATTCGCTGTCAGATTTCTGGGAATAATATCGGTACTCGCACAAGGTTCGCTGAGGAAACTTTCCTTTTTGCTCTGCCAAGGAGGAGAAAAAAAAATGAAGCTTGTTTTTTCGATCTCCCTCCATGCTATCTCGTCTATTTGTAGCGTGGATGGGATTAGCGCATTGCTTTTTATTATTTCTCTTCCCTCCCATCCCATCTGCGCGGTACGGTAATCTGGCCAACGACACGGAACCTTATCGCCGGTGCGCACAAGTTAAGCAGAGGTGAAGGAGAGAGAAATGGGAAAGGAAAGAAAAAGAAAGGAAAGTGAAGGGGGACATGGGGCTTTGTGATTGAACTACCGAGGATGGTGAAGAGCTGTGTTCGAGTTAGGAACAGGACAGATGTGCCTAAAGTGAGGTGTGCGAGTTCACCAGAGCTATTTACGGCCCCTAATGCTTGAACTGGTAATAACAAGGCTAGAGATCGGATTGGATCTGAATTGTATTTGGATTCGGAGATGTGGAGGACGGAGCTCTCCCTGTGCCTACCTGCATGTCGACTCCGACATTCGGATTATTATACTTGCGGCTCCAGATTGGTCTGCGCCGGGGAGAGGGCTTTGCCGTCCCTGCGCTGCGGGGGATGGGTCGGGGACGGGCGATGGCAATGGGTGGAGGGGTGGGTGGAGGGATGGATGGATGGATGGGCATGCAGCTGTGCACATTATTGCGAGTAAGATACCGTAAAACTTTTAGTGTGCGCTACACACACGCCCCAATGCACGACAAGAGTTAAAACCTACCTGGAGGCTGTCAGGAGGGGAGGCTTTATATTTGGCTTGATCATCCCACGTCTCTTCCATTCAAACCTCAGACTTCTCACGCTTTGCTAGCTTTGCCTCTACCCAGCCCACCAGAGCCTACGCATAAGAGCTCAGAACAGCTCAACACGAGTGGACTCAGGAAAAAGCTTTTAGCGTATACCAACCAAACAAAACGAGGCCCTATAAGAACGGGAGTGCAATCAGAGACTGGAGAAATTTGGATATTTCCTCTATATCATCACCGCCCACAGTTCATCTCGAACGTCATCTTCATTTCCTTATCATCCATACCGACCCGTTCCTTGTGCCATACTCCCCACCAAGGCCAATCCAGACGCAAGACACTTCCTTCGCAGCTCTTATCCGCCCGTACAATTCACGCCCCACCTGACCTCCCATCCAGCAATAGAAGACGGATAAAAGGATCGAATCGCACATGGAACCAATAACCCAATCCTCATCCGCAACCCCCCCACCACCAAAGCCGAAACCCAGAAGGTTCCGCTGCTGTTACGAGGGGTGTGGAAGGGGCTTCACTCGTGCCGAGCACCTGCAGCGTCACGGGTTGAACCACCAGCCCTCGCCGAATACCTGTGAGAGGTGCTGTGCGCACTTTGCCAGGCCGGATTTGTTGGGTAAGGGTTCTCCGATGATATACATTTACTTCCCCCGAGAAGGGAGGGAGGATGTGGGCTTCGAGTTCAGGTGGCTAATGCGCAATTTTTCCTCCGGCACCATTAGGTAGGCATATGGATCGGCACGCCCAAAAGGACAAGTTAGCGGGCGGGGAAGGCTTGGGAGTCCTGGGTACCAGAAAGCGTTGCTGGAGAGACCACAACGGGAATATCACTACCAGGCGACCAGCGGCTAGCCTTGACTCGTCACGAAAGCCGTCCACTTCTCCAAAGAGCCAGAAGGGGAGAGGGCGGGGAGAGGGTGGTAGTAGTGGCAATGGAGCGGGGAACATGCGTGGTGGGGGTGCGTGCGTTGCCGCCACCGCACCCATGCCCCAATCTTGCACTACTGCGTCCTCTGCCCGACCACAGCGCAGTGACGGGGGTCATTCTCACAATATATCTCCTCAAGTGGTAGCAACAACAACGGCGGCAGGGGTGGGGGCTTTCGGTCGATTCCAAAGTCGACCATTGGGACTGGCCGAACCGGGTACGTTTGGGGGTGAGAATTTTCAACTATCTCTGCCCCCCCCTCCTCAAACATATCAGCTTAATCCATTGCTCTCTGGCGTTCCACCCCCTACAGCGGAGGCCCTAACCGCGAATTATCAGCCCGAGCTTGACCAATCGCTTTGCGTGGGCCCCGATTTTAGCCTTATGCCTTTTACCACGTTGATGGATGATGCCTTGTTGTTTGGTGGATCGGATAGCCATCCTGGCACCGGCGCGCAGCCTGGCACAGGATTTGATTTGAGCCAGGCACTGTCCGATATGGGCATGGGCCTGGAGCCGTTTGCTACTAGCCCCGGAAATAGTGAACAATTGATGCCGACCCCGACGGACGATTCCCTATTCCCGCCGTTCGATGTTAAAGCATCAACGAATAGGTTGGAGACCGTCTCGCAGCGGTATCCCGATTTCCAAGGCCTTGGGGAATTGGATAAGACTCCACCGGTGGAAGATCACTCTTGTTACTTTCTCCCTGATGCGCAGTCGATATCTCATGACACTCCATCTAGGGACTCACATATCGCGACGACGACGACGAATATCACACGGCACTCACTTAACCCCGAACCAGTGCATGCTCTTCCCATTCCACATACCCAGCCAATCCCGGTTTCTAGCTCTCCTACATCCAACTGTAACCCTTTCCATGAGTATAAGCCCACTTCTGCATCAACATCAAAATCATCATCACCGATTCTATCTTCCCAACCACTCCCTAAGATCGACGAAGAAGCCCGCAAAAAAGCCCTCTCGCTTATAGTACAGGCCACTACCAACGCCAATGGGGGGCCCCAATTCAGCTGGGACGACCCACTCCTCTCGCTCCCCGCCTTACAAAGCTACCTAGACCTCTTCTTCTGCCGAGTCAACCAATTATACCCCCTCTTTCACGGTCCAACGTTTGACCCTAGCAACGTGAATGCGCTGCTCCTAGTAAGTGTGCTCATGCTTGGTGCTACGTACGGTGAGAAGGACGCGCACCAGATGGCGGTGAGGGTCTATAACGTGCTAAGAGGGGTCTTAGTTAGCGTAGGTTTGGTGGCTCCCGAGGCGTAGAGGAGGAAATTGGGAACTAATTTGTACGGGTTTGAGAGGGAACGGATATATGGTCTGATTGTTTTCATGCTACGCTCGAGCTGTGGGCTCTGCAAACGGTGCTGTTGCTAGAGGTGTTTGGGAAGTCAAGGGCGGGAATGAGGGAGCATGATATGGCGAATTTGTTCCATGAGTTATCGATTAACGTAAATAACTCTCTCTCTCTTTCATGTATCGTCTTGGAAGGCCGGTTTGGCCCGCGAGAAATACAAAAGCGCTAATCGCGCACTTCCCTTTTTTATGTTCGCAAGAAAACAGCTTATTAGAAGAAGCGATTTTCAAACCAGCACTCCACTACACATATCCTTCGAAAGCAAAGACCTCGACCAAGAATGGAGCGAATGGGTCATCGCGGAAGAGAGGAAGCGATTGGCGCTATTAGCGTTCCTATGGGATGTGCAGCACGCGGTGCTCTTCTCGCAATCGCTCTGCGCCTGCCGCTACCGTACAATTCCCTGACCTGGGAAGCGGATTCCGCAGAGGCTTGGCACAAGGCTAAGAAGGCGGAGCGCCCGCCTCCGCCCTTCCTAATGGTGACAAAGCCGTACTTGAATCCCGGAAAAAAGACGCCTGCGTTGAATAGTTTTTCCAGGCTGTTGGCGTTGCACGGGCTGATGAGTATAATGTGGGATATGAGGAGGAGGAGGGACCAGACGTCTCTGGGTACGTCGCTGGGTTTCCTTGATTTCAAACTTCCCCCTCCTTTCCCATAGGTAGGGCGCGTGTGGGCGGTGGATGCTATCTTGCTCCATTGCGGCCCGGGCGGTGCGATGCGATGAGGTGCAGAGCGCGCACGCCCAGGGAAACCCTGGGAGAGGTGCAAAGGACGAATGTGCGGAAAGTAACATATTAATATCACTAACCGGTAAATCTCTCACCAGGCTTCCAACCAAACTCCTCCTTATCAACCACATGCTGGCAATCCCGCATCGCAACCGCCTACGACGCCTGGAAACTCGACCTTGGCTCTCACCAATCACCACCGACGTCTTCCTCGGGCGTGGTGGAGACTGAGGCAGTGAGGTCGACACTAACCCTCTACCATGCCGCCCACCTGATCCTGCGCACGGACATCCTCTCCTTGGAAATCTACGCGGGCGCCCGCAGCATCCTGGGCAAGCTGGTGCTACGGATGGACTATGATTCTTCGTGCGCAGTGATCAAGTCCTGGTCCGCTACCCCCGTCGCCAGCAAAAGCGCCTACCACGCCGCCGCAATGATCCGCAATTTCCTACAGCCGGAGAGCGCAGACGGCGATGGAAGGTTTCACTATCCCTGGTGCCTATACCTCGCCACGATCGTCTGCTGGGCGCGGCGCGGCAGTGCCGAGGAGGAGATTGTCTGGGATGCAAAGGGCGAAATGCGAGGCTTTGTTGAGGGTATACTCGAACGAGAACAGGATGGGGGGGGAAGGCAAAGGCTCGGGAAATGCTAGCCACAGCAGTGATAGCAACGAGGGTAATGATAGCAGCAACAGGAAGGACGGGAATCCAGCCGGCATGATTGCCCCCATCGCAAGGTACCTCGGCAGCATTCGCTGGAGCCCTTTGTACAGGTGAGGAGTAAAGTGCTCAGAGGACTGATCGCGGGCAGGCTGGTGTAGGGGAACAAGGCGGCCATGTAACGAAGACAAGAGCCTGCATCTAGAGTAGCAGGCCGAGTGATAGAGAGTGTTTCATAGATCTCAGTATAAGGCATCAATCTTTTTATCATTCGTAGAATTTAAATGGATGAAATGAAAGAAAGGACGATGGAGAGCACAATGCAATCTCCCCACCCGAGATCAAAAACCCGCGCGGGGAACAAGAACCTGCCCCTCGCCAAAGTGCACATTTTAAACCAAACCCATCCCATAACCCTACCGGCCCTATAATCCGCAGACAGCCGGGTAAGTATTCCATTCCGCGTTCCCAAGAATCCATTTCAATCCTGACAGCCCTTCCCCCTTCCCCCCCCCCCCAATCCACCCAATCACAACCACCAACAAAAGAATCCCTCACCGCAAGAACCCAACCCAACCCAACCCCATAACGTGACAAGACACGAAGACAAGGCCACCAACCAACCAACCCCATCACCCATAGGGAAAGAAAGAACAAAAACACCGATGCCAAGACAAAATACAGCCTTGTCTGATGCTTTATATGCCCAGCTTACCCACCGCATAACGAGCCACGGTTACGATTATGATAGGTGGATAGACTATCATACCGGTCCACTCCGACGGTGACTTTTGACCGACAGTTGCTGGCTGTTACAGCCGGTAGGGCGGTAAGGTAAGATACGGTAAGTTCGGTGGGTGGGCTGGTCGGTTAGTCAGTGCCCTACGTATTGTACTAGTACAAGTACAGTACTCGAGTATAATTGCCCAGTAGGCGACCTGGCTACCCGACCCGCCATAATAAGCCATTGCACGAGTACAGTACCGTACCGTACCGCACCACACTCGAGTACAGTATCGGTATCGATTAGACTTTCCATCTTTGGCAAGTACTGTACAATAGTGTCCTGTGTGCGTTTTTCAGGGCCCTTTTTTTCCTTCCTTCTTCTTCCTTCTTGCGCCTTTGTGAATTGTGGGATTCGGCTCATTGGTCGATTTATTATCTGTTGGGGATTTCTGGCAAGGACTGTGAATGGAATGGAGGGGTTTGTATTTCGTGCTGTGCTGTGCGGTGCGGTGCGTGGTGCGGTGAGGTGAGGTGCCGTGCGATGCGGTGAGGGTGTGAGGTTTTGTGTGAGTGAGTGAGCGGAGGGAGGTGGTGTTTTGGAAAGATTGTCGGCGAGACTTTGTGTGGTGAGTACGAGTAGGGCTGTCATATCAAGTGCTGGGTTAGGGCATTTTCTGGGTCTGTGGATTGTGCTAATTATAGTGGTTATCATATTGCCGGTGGTGCGAACGGGTGGGTGGGTGGGTGGGGGCTGGAAGTGGGCGAATTTGGGTTTGTTTTATTTAATGTCGCGGCGTGATATCATATTGGTATTATGGTAGACTGACATGCGATAGGCATTTCTTGTATAATAGAGTAGCGGGAGGGTATTACTTCTCGGCCCGAGCTGCATATATATATCCGGCTTCCCGACAACCGGGATAGGGCCGTTGCGGCAGACTTGAATTCAGAATTGGCGATTACTTGGCTGCTTCTTGGAAGACGGATAGATACCATTCCCGATATGGTGGGGGAATTGGAACCGGTCCATGAATTTTTATTTTATTTTACCTCCTCGTTCGGCCCCCCGGGGCGTGCAGGAAGTTGCTGTGGCTGGAGGTGGAGGTACTATACTGTATCGTACCGTAGTATGTTGCGCAACTCTAAGTTTATCTACCGGTATTATAGAATCCCACTACGACATAGTCCCGTCGTTTGTTTTGAGCGTATCGATGAAGGTATGATATGACAGGAGTGATTAGAGTAGGCTCCAAAAAGGGGGGGTTTTTTTTAAAATAAAATAAAATATTAAATTAAATTTAAGGCCCTATTTGGCATGTCACTTTTACGGCATAAATTTCCCCATATAAATCTTTTATATTGGGGCTGCTTGGCATGGCTAAGAACATGCCATATTTGCCTTATGACATATTTTCCCGTACAACGGTAGGTTTTAGGCGATAGAACAGAACCTATAATGTTTCAATTAATTGAGGTGTAGTACTGGTATATAGGAAATGATAGTGTCATATAATGTGACTGTAAATATAAGGGTGCTACAATAAGTGCTGCATAGTAGGAAAACTTGATCACTAGAGTATTAATGTTGTTTGCAGCTTTTACGGTCATGAAAAATATCATACGATAGACACCGAACAGGACCTAACCTAAATTAAATTTTGATTTAAAAAAATTCTGACCCTATTTGGCATGCCGCCATTTTTTTTTAAAAAAATGGCATTTTTCTCTTAAAAACTTGATTTCTGCTAAAACAAAACACCTTCAATGAAAGGGTATGAAGAATAGTAATGGTGATAATACATCCGGATAGAATCTGCCTTCCGAGCATTTTGAAGGGAAAGGACCGGTGGTGATTCGATCTACGTTCATAAACTATGTCATGTGCTCCAGCGAGTGTTCGGAGTGCGACCCGGTGGCAAGAGATTTAATTATACTAAGGACATATAAGAAGTGCGGATATAGTATCGTAGAAGGGGGACCACGAATCGCTTTGAAACATGTTCGCCACAACAACTTGGGGCAGCTTGGCACTTGGCGCGGCGCCGGTAGCAATTGAATTCTTGTTCCGTGGGAGGGGGACAAATCTAGCTTTGCGAGTACGTACTCGGGTACCGATGCCGGTGCTCGTATGATACAGAGGTTATGATGGATCTTGCAGTGATCACAAGAACCCTGCATATGTTGGCAGAGGGTCGGGACCAGGTAGGAGGTCTGGCAGAGCTATCTTGAACCGAGTTCCGTACCGGGCAAGGATCTCTAGACCTCCGCACCCACCGGGGAAAAAAAATATAGCAGGATGATGTTGAGCACGGTAATGGCAAGTTAAAGTAGCAAAAAATTGAACTCGCAGAATTCCATATAGATGGGACTGCGAGGTTTGGATTACACTCGAGTACTTTACTATTCTCGTACATTTTGCCGACAGCCAACTTATCACCTATCACGGTGGGGAGGTTCTGCAGGGGGCGTGAAGGTGAACTTGAACTCGTTGCTATAGCAACGGTCTCCCACCTTCCCAATTGTGTTGATTAGGGAAGCTACCGTACATACCGGTACTCGAGTACATTAATTCAAGTGCAGACTGGCGTTAGCGGTAGTTCGTGAATTAGAGTGAACTCGTGAGTGTAAACAATGTAAACAAGCCGGCTGATTGGCCCGGGGTGACTTCGCACTGGCTAGTGACGGGCAACTGCCCCAGGTGGGGATAGTTTTATCGTGTGCGCTGAAGTTCGGGTGCAAAAATATTTACTGTACCCTACGGTATGATATATCTCTCGGAGCCTCATTTTCTCTATGCGCACACCATCATAGCCTCTATTACAAGGTAGAGTTCAAGTTCACCTTCACACACGCAACGGAACTTTTCCCGTTCGGGACGAGGGAGTGTGCAGTACTGTACCGGTACAGTACTCCTACTAGTACTATATGAAACGGTAGTCCATCACACCGTTTGCAAGCCCAATAAATTGCCGTCAACGGCCGTCCAGCGAGGAAAGGGTTGGAAACACGGCAGAGCGCACGTGCTCGAGTACCGGTGAGCGGAGTGAGTAGGTAAGGAAAGGAAGAGGTGGGACCGTATCCGTACTTATCGATATACGAGTACAGCACCGGTAGTGCTAATCGCGCCGATCACCCTGCTATCCTCTCTTGACCGATCGACATCCTCCTGCTCGAGTGCATTCGGTAACAGCTTGTGCGAGGTAGACTACTGTCCTCGCAACTCACAGTACAGAACAGCACAGGTAGGGCACCCCCGCATTTGCAGTAGTGGAACCGGATCGAGACGCACTCTCTACCCGAAAGGATAATGACACCGCCTCTTCTAGTAAATCCCCGGCAGATATTTGGCGTCGGAAACGCTTCTTGGCCAGTGACACCATCAGCCAAATGATGCTCCTTCACGCCAAGCGTTCCACCGGGACGCCGCTCTACTCGTACTCGTGCTTCTCAGCAAAGACCCTGCACCCCATTTCTCCTAACTCGTGGCACCAGTTCTTTCCTGCAGAAGGGGTATCATTTATCGGTGGTGTGGGACAGGTGCAGAGGCCTATGATAAGTACTCGTGGTCCACTCGAGTACCGTATTGGGGGAACGGTTGGTGAATGGGGTTGCCACAGATTTACTGAGGCTCATGCATCTGGATTGCTGGAGCTATGATAGACCTTCATACTCGTCGCAATCTACCGTACTGTACTCGTACTACCGTAGTGGACTAGGCCCTTTTAGTAGAGAACAAGTTGTGCCACCCGCTAGGACAAATGGGGTGCCAAAGCTTGGCCGAGACGCACCAGCAAAAGTGGGGTTTGCTGGGCTGATTTTTCCAGCTCGACTTCCGCCACGGCTCCGTCTCGCGTCCGACGCAAGCCGAGTAATTTTGGTTGTCCACCGCGGAAGCAAGATAAAACCCATCCATCCACCTCTCTCCCGTCCATTCATTCATAATTTTACACTCCTTCACTCACTTGACCCCCAATAACCGAGATTTTTCGAAATGGACCTCCCGGAAACCTCCGCATCCGAGCCCCCGAACGAGGCCCTCTCATCACTCATCCGGAGCGTGTACAAGAGTTCGTGTCTGAACTTCTACCTGAATGGGACGAAGATCACCTTGGCCTCTGTGGACCCCGAGGCCACCCTGCTGGACTTTATCCGCTCGCAGCGCAAGCTCAAGGGGACCAAGTTGGGGTGCGGAGAGGGTGGGTGTGGCGCTTGCACTGTTGTCGTGCAGCATGTGAGGGTTGGTGGGGGGGTTGAGCATTCGGCCATTAATGCCTGTTTGGCGCCGATTTTGAGCGGTTTGCTCTCTTCCCCTCTCCCATCCCCCCTCCGGTGCTGGGACTGATGATGGGTCGTCTGTGTTAGTGGAGGGTAAACACGTAATCACCATTGAAGCTCTCGGTACCTCCGCGAACCCACACCCCCTGCAGGAAAGGATTGCAAAGCTTCATGGCTCCCAATGTGGCTTTTGCACGCCCGGTATAGTGATGAGTTTGTACGCGCTTCTACGGAACGCTTATGATCCGCTGACACGGAGGTACCTGCTCAGTGAGGAGATGGTGGAGTTGGAGGGTGCGTTGGACGGTAACCTTTGCCGGTGCACCGGGTATAAGCCTATCCTTGACGCTGCAAAGAGCTTCGTTAGGGAGGATTTGGGTGGCGTCGTGTTTGAAGGGGGGAAGAAGGGGGCAAAAGTTGAGGGTGAGGGCGAGTTGAATGGGAATTATATCTCTGGAGTCAAGGGTTCGGGAACCGGGGGCTGTGGGCGGCCGGGCGGGTGTTGTCGAGATATCCCTGCGACCGAGTTCCCGGGGGATGAGAGCTTGAGTGATGAGACCGAGAGCTCGGGCGGAACGAGTGCCGCGGAGACGGAAGAGACTTCTCTTTCTGGAGCTACTAATGGTGCTCCACCGAGGACTTGTGGGCGCGATGATTGTTGCAAATTTTCAGCCGGCGGGAATGGAGCCACCACCGACGTTAGTGTGTTGAAAGGGAAATGCTCGTTCCCGCAATTCGACTTCAAGTCCTACGAGCCACATACTGAAATCATCTTCCCGCCAGCCTTGAGAAGGTACACCAAGCAGCCAATCGTTTACGGAAACGAGAATAAGCTCTGGTTCAGACCTACCACTATTGAGCAACTCGTCGATCTCAAGCACGCCTGCCCTTCCGCAAAAATTGTGGCCGGGAGCAGTGAAGTGCAAGTCGAGGTCAAATTCAAGCATGAAAAGTATCCGGTATCGGTGTATGTCGGCGACATTGAAGGTCTCAAGGGCTTCTCCATCGACGAGGCCACAGGCGAGGTCGTTATTGGTGGCAATACCTCATTGACCGTTCTGGAAAAGGCGTGTTTAGAGGGGTACAATAAGTTGGGCAAGAGAGCGTTTGTCCTCGAGGCCATTAGGAAGCAGTTGAGGTATTTTGGGGGCAGACAAGTTTGTTCCCCACTTCTTCTCCCCGCTTGATGGTTGCTAGGGCTGATGTGGTGTTAGATTCGGAATACTGCTACGCCTGCCGGAAATATTGTTACTGCTTCGCCCATTTCGGATCTTAACCCAGTGCTTATCGCCTCTGGGGCTATTCTTACCGCGCGGTCAAAGACTCGTGGGGAGTTTACCTTGCCGATGAAGGAGTTCTTTCTCGCGTACCGGACGACTGCGTTACCAGTGGATGCTATCATTACAAAATTGACTATTCCGCTGCCGGCAGAGGGTGCTCGAGAAGTCATCAAATCTTACAAGCAGGCCAAGCGAAAGGACGATGATATTGCTATCGTCACTGCTGGGTTCAGGGTCGTTCTTGATGAGAGTGGTATCACTACGGATATCTCACTGGCCTACGGAGGGCATGTATATCCTCTTATCACTAGTTAGTCTTTACTGACAAAACCAGAATGGCCCCGAAGACTGTCGAGGCGAAGAACACTATGGAGGCGCTCCTCGGAAAGAAGTGGTTTGACAATACCACCCTTGAAGGTGCCATGGCAGCGATGGAAAAGGCAACCCTAACCCACCGAGTATTCACTCATTATGGGCTAACAATTACTAGGACTTCCCGCTTGGCTTTACTGTACCCGGTGGTATGCCGACCTACCGTAAAACGCTCGCATTCTCATTCCTATTCCGTTTCTGGCATGAAGTCGCTGCCGAACTGGAGCTCGGGACCCAGGAGCAGCAGATCGATCATGAAGTTACGGAGGAGATTCGCCGCGGTGTCTCTAATGGATCTAGAGACAACGACAACCCGTATGAGCAGAGGGTTGTAGGAAAGCAGATCCCGCACTTATCCGGCTTGAAACAGGCCACCGGGGAAGCCGAGTACATCGATGATATGCCCAATATTGAGGGCCAGCTTTTCGGCAGTCTCGTGTTGTCAAACAAGGCTTATGCTAAGCTCGTCAAGGTCAATTTTACACCTGCGCTGCAAGTGCCCGGTGTGGTTGGCTATGTTGACATTAATGACCTCAACGACGAGCGCAACCATTGGGGGCCTGTCTTTAAAGACGACTTCTTTTTTGCCGAGGACTTTGTCTATTCGTATGGTCAGCCCATTGGTATGGTGTATGCCGAGTCCGCAGCTATTGCACAGGAAGCGGCTCACTTGGTTGATGTCCAGTACGAAGAGCTACCGCCGATCTTGACCATCTCTGAGGCAATTTCTGCCAAGTCCTTTTTCGCCTATGGAAGGATGCTCATTCGAGGAAAGCCCACTGCGGAAGCGTTTAAGGATTGTGACTTTGTCTTTGAGGGCGTTTCTAGGATGGGTGGACAGGAGCACTTCTACCTAGAAACTAACACCGCCGCAGTGATTCCGAGGCCGGAAGACGGAGAGATGGAGGTTTGGTCTAGCACTCAGAGTATTATGGAGACCCAAGAGCTTGTTGCGCAGGTTACCGGTGTACCTAGTTCTAGGATCGTTGCCAAGGTCAAGAGGATGGGTGGTGCGTTTGGCGGCAAGGAGATCAGGACGGTTCAGCTGACTTGCGTTCTTGCGGTTGCTGCGAGGAAGGTTGGAAGGCCGGTAAGGTGCATGCTTAACCGCGACGAAGACATGTATGTTTCTCTTTTTACGTACGGTTTTGTTGGTGGTGCTGATGATTATAGGATGATTTCTGGCCAACGGAACCCCTTCCAGGCACACTGGAGAGTCGGCGTCTCAAAAGACGGGATTCTCCAAGTCCTCGACGCGGACGTCTACGATAATGCCGGATACTCTTGCGACGCTAGTGGCGCCGTTATGGACCGTGCGCTCACGCACATTGACAGCTGCTACTTTATTCCTCACGTCCACGTCCGCGGTCACGTCTGCAAGACAAATACCCACTCCAACACTGCTTTCCGTGGCTTTGGTGCACCGCAGGGCCAATACATTTCTGAGTGCATAATGGTCACCGTAGCCGACAACTTGAAAATGTCTGTCGACGAGCTCCGCTGGAAGAATTTGTACAAAGAGGGCGAATTGACTCCCTTCCTACAACCTCTCGAAGATTGGCATGTCCCGTTAATTATCACTCAACTGAAGGCCGAAGCCGACTACGACACTCGCGTCCAGCAGGTTGAAGAGTTCAACCGCACGCATAAATGGAAGAAGCGAGGAATCTCCTTGATCCCCACAAAGTTTGGTTTATCCTTCGCGACGGCATTGCACTTTAACCAGGCTGGTGCACTGGTACACATATACCACGACGGCTCTGTTTTGCTTGCCCATGGGGGGACGGAAATGGGCCAGGGACTGTATACAAAGATGTGCCAGATCGCGGCGCAAGAGCTAAACTGCCCCCTAGATTCAATCTTCACCTCCGAGACCTCCTCGAACACGGTAGCGAACACATCCCCAACCGCCGCCTCCTCCAGTAGCGACCTCAACGGAATGGCTATCCAGCACGCTTGCCAGCAACTAAACGCGCGCCTAGAACCCTACCGTTTAAAATACGGCGCCGACGCCCCCCTCAAAACCCTCGCACACGCCGCCTACCTTGACCGCGTAAACCTTAGCGCCAACGGCTTCTACAAAATACCGACAATCGGCTACGAGTGGGGTAACTACGTGGACCCGTTGCCAATGTACTCTTACTTCACCCAGGGCGCAGCCGTCTCTGAAGTAGAGCTAGATGTGCTCACAGGGGCACACACTGTGCTCCGCACGGACATAAAAATGGACGTTGGCCGCTCGATCAATCCTGCAATTGACTACGGCCAGATCGAAGGTGCCTTTGTCCAGGGCCAGGGCCTTTTCACAATCGAGGAAAGTCTCTGGCAAAAGAACGGCGAGCTTTTCACGCGCGGTCCCGGAACCTACAAGATACCCGGCTTCGCTGATATCCCGCAGGTGTTCAACGCTGGCTTGCTCAAGGGCGTGAAGTGGGCTAAACTAAGGAACATTCAGAGCTCCAAGGGGATCGGCGAGCCGCCCCTGTTCTTGGGCGCAACCGTTCTGTTTGCGCTGCGCGAGGCGGTAAAGGCTGCGAGGGAGAGTCTTGCGGTTGATGCGCAGTCTATGGGCGTCGTGCAGTTGGATTCTCCGGCTACGGCGGAGAGGTTGAGGCTCGCTATTGGGGATTGGATTGTCCGCTGGGCAAAGGTTGAAGCGAAGGAGGGGGAGAAGGGCTTTTTTGTTGAGGCAATGGCGTAGGTCTTTATCTTTTGCATTTTTCGTTCTCATTTGTTGGCTTTGCATGACGGATTTTTTTCATGCTCGGATTTTTCTGCACATTTGCGCTGTGAGTTTGGGTTTTTAATGAAATTACTTTGATATCTTGTACTGCATGACCACCCAGTACACATCTTCACTAGCTTCTACCGCCGATCGAAAAAAAAAGCCCCCGATTCCGGGGGTATAGAGAATTCCCACCCATAATATTGGCCAGACAAACAAAACCCATCCCAAGTTAACTTTTGGCCAAGCTAAATTTCACCGCCCTCATTCCATCCGACACGGCATCAGCATCCTTACAGGAGTTGAGCGCGATCTAAAAATCCCCAAACCATGCATTCACATTCTCCCCTTCCCTCTTAAAGGGTGAAAAAAAAGAAGACAGGAAAAGAACGAAAAGCCAAATAACCCAACTCGGGAAAACTTGTCCCATTTCTTCACCTTAGTGCCCAGGATGGGACTGTACTGCGCGGTGCGGTGTGGCCCCGTCTGATAGTCTACGCCGCGGGGGCGGGCAAGTTATGCCCGGACTGTTTAGTAATTTCTAGTCGCTCAGTCCTGTAGATGTGGAGCGTTGTGGGGGGTAAAGAGAACTTGCCTTGTATGATAGCTATATATGTGTCGCGATGTTATTGATAGATTTTTTATTGATTTCTATTATAAATTCTCGAGGTATTGGTCTTGCGCCATTGGGCGAACTTGCGTAGTGTGTGGTTGGTAGCGGTCTAGGGAGCGTTATTCCAGTAATGGATTGCACGGTAACTTACCGTAATATCTGGGGGGGGGGGGGGGCTATGGAGCGCAAGGGGCTGGGAGATGAAGTAGGAGATAAAGTGGGAGTGGTAGTGGGAGGGAGGGGGAATGTATGATATTGTGGGCGGCGTTTCCTCCATACCCCTCATCCGTTCGTGATCAGTGGGGTTGGAGAGCCTTGCACCCACCTTTAGATTATTGTGCCGCTGGTCCTGTACGAGTACCGTATTATAGCAAGCTTTCTGGTGAGATTCTTTGAGATGGACGCTGCGCGGGCGTCGCTCGGGGTGGGTCGGGGTACCACAGGCTATGCCAAGGTACCGGTATGGTATCATATGTCGGAGGGAGGTGAAGAATAGCGGGTGGGGTTTACGGCCGTGTAGGATGGCAAGCGGGAGTTTCTAGCAAGCGGGACGGAAAGGAACTATTGCGCAGGGTCCTACCCGTCTATAACACCGCTGGTGCCAGACCTCTGAGGGGTAGGGAGGGGGTGGTGGTACGTGGGTTTGTATGCTGGGTCCTTTTTTTCCGTCCGCTCCGACGTTTTCGTAATGGCCATAACGTTATTATGCTATCATAACATGATACTGGCCTATGTATAGACGATCACTCGGACTCTTTTCTGTTTTCATTCCATTTGTTTTCATCTGTATGATATCATACGTCACGTCGGACTTTTTTTTTTATACGGTATCCTGCGATATCTGATTCGGGGTTTTCGGGCGGGCTCGGCAGTGACAAGGGTTACCGCGGTGACAGGATCGATTCATGAGCAAAATTGTTATTGGCCCTGCGTTCAGCGATGGCGAACGAGGTGGTGGCAGGAAGCAAAACAGTTCCCCGAGCGTTGTGACACTTTAAATCTTGGGAGGGATAAACTACCAATAGACCCCCTCCTGGAAATTCCTGCGTTTCCTGATGACTGAAAACTATGGCTGGTTAGATTTTATGGTAGCTTTGGGCTATCGAGTGTGGGGTACTCGAGTATATGCAATACCGCATCACACTCCGCTGGTCGGAAACCAAGGTACCAGCTGCGAACCAAACCGGTGGCGCCCATGCCGCTATAACGAGGGAGTGACTAATCGACCTCGACTCCGCTAACGCAGGATCCATGTGAATCGGGAGAGGTGGGAGGAGGGGGATTCCATACGCCTCGGCTGGCAAGAGAGAGTGCCGAAGGAGGTCAGTCGGCGTTGATTTCGGCGGAGGCTGGGTGGACTTCATTGCGGACATGCCCGTCCAATGTGGATATCATGTGGATATTTATTTATCATGCTTAGGTTGTCTGATGAGTTATTCCCTTCAAGTATTGTTAAGTTACACCTGGGTTTTGGACTTGGTTCGGCTAGCTGTGGTACATTACCACATATTTTCCCCCCCAGCTTATTCTGAGAAAAGTGAATTTTAGGGGGAGCGTGGAGTATCGAAACTGCCTAGCGCGCTACCAGATGGCTGGTGAGTGTTAGCGCGTGGTGTGTAGTACTGGGGTTACCTCACGGACGGACGTTAGGGTTGGTGAGCACAGTGGGCATCACGGCTTGGCATTCATGTATTCACTTAGATAGCAACGTTCGTAGCTAGGAAATACATCAAGTTCCCATCCTCTCTCCACCACGCACACCGGTGCTATCAGTGAGCATACATGGGGACAGATTTGGTTATGATGCCTTTTCGCCAGAGGTATTCCCTTAAACTATTACAAAGCTAAAGGTGTCGGAGGGAGTTTCTTAAAGGCCTTTCTGTGGGTGTTATATCGTCAAGCCTGTATATACAGGGATATGATCCAAGTACTTGTACTATACCACGGGTAGTGGGCGGTTGCAGTGCATATAATACCCCAAGGAAACTTGCATTTGCGAGGATCAGCAAATGTTTTGACTCTAGCGGAAGAAGATCCATCTACGACCCGTGCTTATTGGTGGTTTCGATACGGTGACAGCGGTACCCGAACAGAATCACGGGAATATGCATGCTCCATAGTAGAAGAATGCAAATTAACGGAGAGAGAAATACACTGTTGGAGTCACGTGTCGGACATAGTTCTTGGGGAGGGAGAATGTCGAGAGCAGAGCGAAAAGGTCCGAAGATCCAAGAGGCTTTTATAGAACGGTCCTTGTTCCCGCTATATCATACCCGAATAGGCTTTTTCTTTTTTCCCGTGGCAGTTTTTTAACGCAGCCTAGCTCATTACTATGGCTTAAAAACTGCGGGTGTTTGGGTCTTCGCTTTTGTCCGCTCTTTCTTACTCCCCGACTTAGATGCGCAACCGAGTTTGGTATTTATGAGGGTGCGAAAGAGGTTCTCCCACAAGCTGCAAGCGTACCTGTCACCCGAGACCCGGGGGTCCGGGCACAGCTAAAATAAATAAAAATGCTGACCTCGTTTGAGCGCGAGTACATATCGTACGAGGGGGATGTTTTTGTCAGAGGAAGGGATTATTTTGCTGGCTGCGTAATAGTTCGAGAGGAAGAAAACTATCATACTTTTGGGATGGGTAGGAGCCGCTGGCCAAACAGATAGGAATTGTTTCCCGGGTTAACCTAAGTTGACTGCTCGCTAACCATCTATAAGGTTCTTGCACCATATTCGTACTTGCCTCCCTTCAACTTTCTCCTTTCTCGGAAGCTCACTACAATGCCATGCCCGCCCAGGAGCATCGCATACAACCAGACCACTACGGTAGCACCTATGATATAAATGCGTCAAACCCGAACAAGCATTTAAGCAGCCAAGAGCCTTCTCAACCATATCCAGCTTCCTGATCGAAATTCTCGATCCGATTTACTTTAGTGGTAGATATCCTGGAATAGCCCGAGCATCAAATTGGGCTACAGCCCGGCGCGGAGACCGCATTGCAAGACCCCAGCAGCCTTCGCGCTCAAGCCGCCTGTGTCCTCGACGCCTGTGCCCTCAATGGGTGTCTGGGATACTAACGCTTTTAAAGCAACACAAACAAGCTTTTGCAGCCCTCTAGAAACAACGGGTAGACATCCTGGAACGGTTTCAAGGGCTGGGGGATGAAAATTTCCCCCCGGTAAATCTGTGTCATATTTGATTTTGATTTTTAAAGAGAGTAGCCGTGAAACCGATCTCAGGGGTGGAAGCTCCGCTGCCCGAGTTACCAATAATAGCGTGGATCGCCATGCCGCTCCCTTAGAACCCTCCCATGGTGTGAAGGGACAATTTATCCCTGACTTTCCAGCAGCTTTAGGAGATGCCGCGAAGATCCGCAGCGAGTATCTGAGCTTGTATCATAGGAAGATAGATTCGGGGTATTGGGAAACAGTTAGACTATCATACACGCGGAGGCACCAACACACATCACTAGAACCGGTTACGGCTAGCCCTTCTAGGTAGTATTTATGGTGACCCGCCGAATTCCATCACTATCGCATGTGCAGGGTATAGTGCTCTTAGAGGGGTAAAACGGCATTGTGAGATAAAACTGTTTCGAGGGGCGGTAGCCACGATCGGAATCCGAGTGAAAAGTGTACGAGTTTGCCAAATTTGTGATTTGAACTAAATGAGAAAGTAGTGTCTAATATATCTAGAACATAGACGACCCCTTGGTGGTGACTAGCAATAGGAAAAATTAGCACTCAACAGAAACACAACTTTTGTGGGAACTGCGGGGGTGTCGAGAACTTGGTGTGAAGATATCCCATGTGCTCTATACAAAATTTCATATGATACAATACAAATCCAACAGGGGTCGGTCTTGTACGTAGGGAAAGCATAACCGAACGTCGGGTCGGGGGAGCAAAGCGTGGCTTCAGGAGTCGGTTTATGGCTCTAAATACTGCGCTGTGGCACTCCAGAGGACCATCCACTTTGGAATCCAGCGATGGTCTAAGATATTTACCCATACTACCAATTGGAGGTAGGTAGGACCTGGGGTTGAACCCGGGCCATGGAAGAAACCCCCGTTTCTCCCGTTAACTATTGCCCTAAAACCCCTTGTTCCTTCCAGTGTTCCCTCCTCATTCGGTCGCCTCCCCATTCAAGCTCAATGGCACTCACAAACATGATCAAAATTAGTTCACCCCAGGCTCAATGGCAACCTTAATCATACTAGACTCCTATTGGGTGCGGTGGCATTGATTTGGCATCTTCCCCCAATGGGGCTATTGAACCCGAATCGCCCCACTTCACTCCAATGGCCCAAATATAATGGGGGATCGAAGCTCTAAGCATGCGGTGCGGGGAAGCTCAATAGTAGCTTTGGGTGCACTTAGAGTACTAGAAGAACTGTTAAAGGATCTTTATCTAGCACCCTGCTCCATTCCCACCACAAAGCGCTCTCCCCATAGAAGAGGACTTGCTATCAACGGACACTTCTGTCTCTTAAGATAACGCTCAGTTTAAATTTTCTCACGTTCATCCCTTCTTCCCTCTCAAAAAAGTTACACCCCCCGGCAAGCCCCTACCGCACACAAGTATCTTAATTTTATATTCCCTTGTAGGTGGCTCCCCCCCCCCCCCCCACCCCAATATATGCTCGCACATGATACCCAGTGACACTAACCTATCTCACCAGCACCCCCAACACCGATACAAAATGGGAAATATCCTAACCAGTCACTACAAACCCGACCACCTCACCACAGACCTTGGAACTACAAGCAACGCCGTTGCTACTAACCAACTTGAAGACGACACCGATACCATCTCCCTCCTATCCAAGTACCTCGAATCCCAAACCGCACAGGACAATGACCTCGCTCAAAACCTTGTCGGGCTCCTAGAAACCATGAACTCCTTGCACAGCAGGATCACCGATCTCGAAGCCGATCTCGAAGCAGAACATGGGGAGCCAGCATCTGGCGACTCGGGAGATGTCAAAACCGGGGATAAAGGGCTAGAAAGGTTGGAACTGGGACTTATGAATGGGGATAAAGGGTTGGCCACACCACCTGGCAAAAGGAAAGCAACTTTAGGGACAAGGTCTAGGAATGAGGGCAGTAGAAGAAGTTTGAGAATACAAGAGAAGGCCCAGAAGGCTGGAAGAGCCTCTCAGGTGGGGCAGCCAGGGAAGTCCAAGTCACCAATTTTGGCTACTAGGAAGCAAGGGGGTAGGAGGGTTTCGAAGGGGAAGAAGACGAGGAAGAAGACGAGGAAGAGAGGCACCAGATCTACCAAGGTGAAGCAGGAGAAGTAGAAGAGGGAAGGGGGCGGGGGGGGGTAAAGGGTTTCCTAGAATTTTTTGTTTGGGATAGCTATGGTTGGGTAGTGGTTACTGTATGCTAGTCCATTGAAATAAATCATGCGGTACAGGGGGTGGGGGGGGGGGTTTACCAAAAAGGTCTCTAGGTGGGGGGGTTCGCCAATGCTAATTCAAGGCCAATTTTTCCATCTCTCCCCATCCCTTTCCGTCAGAATTGAGAGCCATTCCGGGAAGTTGAACCTGAGGTGGTTGCATGGATGGATATTTGCGGGCAGCAGTGTTGAGGGTAGTGGAGCGATATATTCTAAATTTGCCCTATTTTGCAGTTCTTGACCCAGCAACATCACCCTTGATTTCATAGGATACATATCGTGTCTCAGTAGCTCCAATTATTATCATCGTGTTTCCCTAGATTACATAAGCGTGTCTAGGTCTTCAAAGTGCAAGGAGGGGGCTCATAACTGGAGCTCAAGCACTTGGTTGGTTTATCTCACTAACCCCTCCTCTGTGCCAACACTGCTTAAGGAACCGCCCCAAGGGCCATAGTTCCAACGTAAGAGGCCCTAACCCCAGCCCACTAAAAGGGTAACTAACAGACTGATTGTGAGACTCAATTCTATGATAATTATAGTTCGTGCACTCCAAAACCTGTACCAGACTTTAAGTATTTTTTAATCCATTATATCCTCCTACCTTGTAAATAAATTTTTTAAAAAAAACCTCCACAAGATAGATCCTGTTAAGGAGAATAGCCCGCAGGTTTTTTAATAGACACCTCTAGGTTCATTTAATTAGTATAATCAGTTGAAAGTGCCTATTTTGTATGAGAAAGTACAAAATGTGTTACACACAGCCACAATTCTTTTTACCCTAGTACTCTTTTATCAAACATAGGGTGCAATCTTCAGTATTATGCCCTCAAGATATACTTAGTAATAAGAAGTATAATATGTTCTGTATAACCTTACCAGTATAAAATAACTCGATATCATCCAAGTACAAAGAAGTACAAATTTCAATTAATCTAAATTTCTTCAAGTTACTAATATACTAGTAATTTGAAAATTTTCCAAAAGGGAAGAGAGAATTATAGATGCATATTGGTAGAGAATACCTTTTAGTAGTGTAGACTTTTTTCCAGCTATGAAGTATAAATATAAAAGTTACAGTCATGGTTCTGATATGGTAGAGGTTGATTAATCTAATATTTACTGTTTGTAACCAGTTATTTATTTCCTGTAATTATTCTTCTCTTAATATATATATCTTGACTGAGACCCTGATATTATAACCCTACTGTGAGATACTTAGATGTTTGCCCTAAACTCTTGGTATTCTAAGCCACAAAGCCACGTAACACTCAATTTTAGTCTAGTACATGTTTTGGAGTGCATGAACCATATGAAAAATCATTTCCTATCATACCTCTCTTTACCAGGTTTTGTAAGCACAATTCCATTTCACCACAAAAAAATACATCATAATCTAGAAATCTAGAAGTCCGTATTCTGACGGGGAGAGTCCACGATTCAGACTTTCATAAGCTCTGGATTTTTTTTTTCCGATTTCCTACGGAGGACGTTCTTCGGTGAGTTAGGCAATTAAGTTAGTCCTCATAACCCAAAAATATAATAATAGTTGCTTCGGCTGCAAGAAACGCAGCCTCACTAATGGATATGCCTACTCCGTCGAGTGCAGCTTCCAAGGACTCTCATTCGTGATAACGAGATCGGGAGAGAATCCTTGCTCAATTGGCAAGAAATAATCAGGGTCTTATCTCCTCGAGACCTCCTCCCACAGAAGGTCCTGGAGGCAGCGGTGGACTTCGGAATAACCGTACCAAATCTAAAAGCAGTTCAAGATATCTGCTCTAGAAACAAACACCAATTAGAACGATTGTAATATCCTCACATTCCCCCAACACTGCAGACGCCTCAGTTTATTCCTCACGATCACAATTGGCCATACCGGTGCTTTCACCCCCAGCAACGAACTCCAAAGGCTTCACAACCCGAGTTCCGGTGAATATAGAGTCATGAGATTCAAGAAGGAAAAGAAGAGAAGATAAGTTACGGATAGTGGTTTGTTCTTCAACGGACAGGAATCCAACGAACAGGCATCTCCAAGAATACACCATCTAGAGGCCGAATTGGGGGACAACAGAGTTTCTAAACCATCCAACCGCCCTAACCCAATTTTGATCGACGTACCTTGTACGGACTCCAATATATACCCCACATGTGTTTCCACACGCTCAGCCAACTCTAAAGTAGAGGAAAGTCCATTGAGTCACGTGCACAAATACCAAACCTAGGCTCAACAAAATCCTGAAGAATTTTAGTCTCGTGCTCGTGGGAGGGAGCTCAGGCCTCCCCATGGTCACGCTTCTAGTGCCCTATTCGCTCGCATTTTGCAAAACGCAAGGACCGATTACCGTATGCTGCCAGGTATGCCATCAATACCGAAGCAACCCGTTTAATATAGATATAGGAAACACCCCCTGGATGCACACTCAAGCCCTCAGAAAGCTAAACACCTATGATGAAATTCCCTTGGTATGATATTACAGAATAATTCTAGCACCCGTGGAGAGCGCACGGAGGGTGGATTTAATTTCCGGTCAGAAACTTGCTTGCAATGCCCCCCCCCCCTTAACACCTAGCTTAAAACCGGGCCATCTGGGTACTTTGACAATTCCAGCATACATAAAACAACCAAAACGGGTATAAATTTCTTATTGATGTGTTTGTCATCTACGCCCGTTCGAGTTCATATCCATACACATATAATACAAGGTACAGTATCACAATGTAAAGTACCATACAGGACAAATCCACATATCAACCCTCAGAAAATGAGGAAGTCAATGTCCTATATCTCAATGCGACATCTTTCCTACCCCCCCGAGAAGGGTCCTTAACAACTGATAGCTTCACAATGAGTAGAGTTATAAAATAAATTCGCGTTCTCGAGAGAGAGAGAAATGGTCAGATGGAGGCTGTCGGTCACGATGGGTTAAAATAGAGGGGTGAGGTGTTACACAGTAAATTGAACTTATCCCGGAGTGTGTCTCCATATCACGTGCGTTGTGACCACGGCAAATCTTTCCCGCAGTAGTCTATCGTAGCGAAGTCTCTTGAGTCCGGCACAACCAACCAGCCAGCCCCGTCCATGTCAACGATGGTCGATTACCCGTTCTAGTATGATACCTTTACGTATATACATCGCAACCTTACACAATCCGGCAGGCCACAAATTGAGCTCCTCGAGGAAAGCCACCTAATTCCCAAAAGTATTATCGCATTACTAACTTGACTACTATACATAGCGTAAAGCCACCCCTCTCCATACAAAACGTATTTCTAGCAAGGTGTGTAAAGCAACGCTGAACCAAATACTCATTCATACCCTCGCTCCCTCATCCAACTCATCCGGTAACGAAAGAAAAAAAAGAGAGAAGATGCCGTATTAACCTTGAAATCTAAAGGAAAGGGAAAAGTCAAACGCCGTAAAACTGATGTATGAATCCGGGGACAAGGTGCCGTAAAGAGAGAACTATGGGAAGAGAGAGATAGAAAGGAAATTAAGTGCGTCCATCTATAAACGATTATATAAAAAGATCCGTTTTTAGTTAGTTTTTTAGGTGAGAGGTAAAGAAGGAATATAGAGAACAAAAGAAAGAAAAAGAAATATTAAGAGTAAAGGATGGATGTATTTTCTCTTCTAAAACCTTGGAGAGGTGCATGCTCCTATTCCGTCCAAAGGTAATTAGTTCAACCTCAGCGACGAGCGAAATTAAGGTATCTCGACTAAAAGGGAAAAAATAAATCAGCAAACTTATCAAAAGAAAAAAAAAACAGCGGATCACGAAGAAAACTCACAGCCAGGAACAAAATCACCAAATTACTCCCAACAAACGCCGTAAGGATTCCCAAATCCCTCCACCGGTCCTCAAATTTCAGTCCCAGCGGGACGAAAAACTCATCACCGACGGAGAAAGCGCAATAATCGCACGATCCCGTAGCGTTCAGATCCCGGATATACCCAGGCGCCAGTTCCATGAACTTCCCAGCATACCCACCGCACGTCTCCCCGTCCGGTATGGGGAAGGTATTGTACTCGCTGGAAGTACAGGTCACGGGAGCGTCATGGAGCTCCGTCACCACCATCCCACCGATCAGACGCGTGAAGGGGTCGAGGTGGTACAGCCATGCACGCCAGAACCCGGGAATGTTGGGCTTGGGGATGGTAACGCCGCAGAAGAGCGCGAAGGTGATCATGATGAATGGATTCAACAGCGAGGAGAAGAACGAATTGGGGGTGAGCGCGGCAATCATTTGTCCGAGTGTCACGGAGAACAGCTCGCAGATTAGGATCATCAGGAATTGGTATCCCGCGCGGGACGGGGCCGGGTTGAAGCCTGGTGGGAAGTACAGACAGACGAAGAAGCCGACGGCGCACATGATGCTGTACGGTAGCTCTGCTACCACCATTGACGATGCGAACGCGAACTGGCCATACATTTTTGAGGACTGCTCGCGGTAGAAGATTAGGCGTGACATGTCATACTTTGGCTCCACCTGTGCGAGGATGAGTGCCGGAAGGACTGTGGCTTGGAAGATGACGAACACGCGGGACTGCAAGGACGAGCGGGATTCATCCAGATCCAAGTATACAAGTCCCGTGAGGAGCGCAATAGCAATGTGATTGAACAATCTGGTGAAACCATAATTCGGAGTACGCCAGAAGGATAAATTGGTTCTTTTCATGACTTCCTTGATCTGGAAGCTAACCGGTGTTGCATATTCCTTTTCGTCGACGGGGGGTGTGGACCCAACCTCTGCTACGCGCTCATCCTTCATCTGGGATATCATGGTCTTGATGTCCGAAAGTTCTTCCGAGGAGCGCCAGATATCTGCCCAATCTCTATCTCCAATGCGAGGCGCGTGTCCAGCGCCTATAGCGTCAAGCATCCATTCCGCGGGATTGGCATCGGGAGGGCAATGTGCCCCGTGCTTAGCAAAGTAGCCCAAGAGAACTTGCGCGTCCTTTCCAATATCACCAAAGTAAACACACTCACCACCACGCTGAAGGAGCAACAGCCTATCGAAGTTCTCAAAGAGCGAAGAGTTGGGTTGATGAATTGTGCAGAGAATAGCCTGTCCAGCCTTGGCAAGCTTCTTGAGGAAACGAACGATGTTGAAGGCGGATTGGGAATCAAGGCCGGAGGTGGGCTCGTCTAGGAAGAGTAGGAGCTGGGGCTTGGCGGCTAGCTCGACACCGATCGTCACTCGTTTGCGCTCCTCGACTGCTAATCCGTTAGTTGGGTCCCCGATGATAGCATCTGCGATGTTTTCCATTTCCAGCAGCGCGATGACTTCCTCCACGTATGCGTCCTTCTCAGCGCGGGGGACTTCATAAGGCTGACGAAGGTATGCAGAGAAACGGAGCGCTTCGCGGACGGTTTGTGTGGGCTCGTGCGTGTCAAGCTGTTCTGCGTATGAAGTCCCACGCTGGAAGGCGGTCCCTTTCGGCTTGCCATCTACTAGCACGTCTCCAGTTATCACGCCAATATTCTTCCTACTCGCTAGTACGTCCAGGAGGGTAGTCTTTCCGGCTCCTGAGGCACCCATCAAAGCGGTGAGTTCTCCCGGACGGACGTAGCCGTAGATCTCGTTCAATAGACGGAGTGGGCCACCGGGGGTAGGAACTTCGTAGACGAGTTTCTCCCAGGTAAGGACCGACCTGGATTCTATTCTCAGTGCTGACTCTTCTTCCACCGCAGCTTCTTTCTGGCGACGACGCTTCCTCTTCTCGCTAAGTTTCTGGTTGAGTTCCTTGCGTTCGGCATTCTCCTTAGCATAGTAAGTGATCGTCTTTCCGCCGGCTCCGTAGGAAAAGTATTCTCCAAGAAGGGCGTTGGTGACCAAGAATGCTGCGATAAGCCCGATGATGATACCGAAATTGCGCCACAAGTCCTTGGGGTCGTAATTGAAACTCAGGTTGATATAATCTCCTCCGTCGATATCACTCGAGCCTGGGGAACTTCCAAGAAGAGTGCACGTCTGGTACCGAAGGTTCTCGTAGCCAGGACCAGATGGAACCAAAGAATCAGAGGTACAAGTCAAAGTAAGACGTTTAAACTCGTTCATCATGAGCGACGAGAATCCCAGTCCCAATCCGTTGATGTAGAAGATCCAAGAAACCCACTTCCCCTGAGCCTGATCAGGAATCAAGTACCCAGAAGTCAACACAAAAAATGTGATAATGATAGCAGCAAACTTCATAGCGTAATCAAAATCCGGGCAGACACACCCGATTGTTCGGAAGAAGAGCGTCATAGCAAGGTACCCGGTAATGATAACAAGCCAGAAAGTGAGAAACGCCCCCGCGTCACGGACGAGACCAGACATGAAGTAGACGATAATACTGAACACCATAATCTGCGTAGCGGCGAACACAACATCAACCACAATCTGTGCAATCCACAAAGCGGACGGTCGATGAAACGTATACGCCTTATGCTTATTCACGATAGGGCGTCCCAACATGGTAGAAGCCAACTCCCCGAAAGCCTGGAAGGCATTGAACAGCAACGAGATAAACAACAGCCCCCCACGGGTGAAAGCCCCGGCGGAGGTCTTCGGAAGATCCAAATAAACGGTGCCAAGAACGATTGCAATAGTGATAGAGGTGATCCAGGAGACCACAAGCGAGAACTTATCCTGCCATTTAAGCAAAAACTGCCGCTGCATGAGCGCCCAGATCTGCCGCCAAAAAGGAATTGTGTACACAGAAGTCTTCTGCGCTCCACGACGCTTTTCCTCGCGAACCGCGACCTCAAAGTTCTCGAATTGCTCCTCACGGAGGGACTCCCGATAGGCTTCCATTTCCTGGTTGAGCCGAACGTAATGCGGAGACTTGTGGAATGCTTCTTGAAGAGCCTCTGGAGAGGCGGGGACATTTGTGGCATCACGGCCGGGGGCGAATTCCCGTTCAAACTCGTCTGTGCAACCGGTGAGGTAGTCGGGAGTAGTTTGTCTAGGCTTGGGCAAAAACCCGAGTCCTTCAAAGTAGGCTCTTGCCTCGCTAGCTGGCCCGAAGAAGACTTCGCGGCCTTCGTCGATGACAAGAACTTTGTCGAACTGGGCATAGATGCTCTCACTAGCTTGGTACAACGATACGAAAGTAGAAGTCTTGTAGATGTTTGTCACGATACGGAGGGACTTTGCATAGTCGAGAGCAGTAGAGGCGTCAAGCCCACGGGTGGAATTGTCCCAGCAGCAGATGGTGGCCTTGGTAATCATCATTTCGGCAATCGAAACACGTTTGCGTTCTCCGCCGGAGATCCCGCGAACGAAGGGGTTTCCGACGATTGTGTTTATTGTGTGTTCAATTTTGAACATCTTTAGCAATAGCTTTACCACACTGTCTTTGAATTCCTGGTTTGACATCCCGGAAGGGCGTTTTCCGGGAGTCTTGGTGTCAAGCGCGAAGCCGAGAGTTTGGCCGACAGTCAGCGTTGGATGGTGAACATCATCTGTGATGATTCATATTAATCACAACACACACACACAAAAAGAAAAAAAGAAAATTCATAGCTCACCCTCTTCATTATACACTGCCTCCCCACGATATCTCTTGGCAAAAGTATCCGCCGAAAATTTCCCATAGAGCACTTCCCCATCCACTCTTGTATATCCCATTCGCTGATTCGCAATAACCTTGAGGAAAGTGGTACAGCCGCTACCAGGGCGACCGAGAACCAGGACCATCTCGCCGGGCTTGGTAACGCCGCGGAAGCCCTTAAGTATATCGAATTCACGACCCCTCTTGTCCAGTCCCAAGATACTAGCAGCCGTAGCAAAGACGTTGAAGAAGCCAACTACCGCGTCAGGGAACGTCGATATGAAGTTCTTTACTCCGCCGATTCCCGAAACTGTAAGATCTTGCCAGATGACGCCTAGGTAACACAAAGAGTTAGTACCCATCAATTCTCACTCAGCTCGCACGAGAGTAAATATCCCCAAAAATCCAGGGTAAAATCTAAAGCTTAAAAGAAAGGACAGAGTAACCATACCGATATGCTTAGGCCTTATCCCGGCTTCTCTATCCGCGCTCTCGTTGCCCCTCAAGTGATTTTCCAAATCGAATTGGTTCCCCTCCTCATCCTCAGCCTTCTCTGGATCTCCTCCGATCTTTATCCCCGCTCCTCCCACCCTGCTGTGCGTACGGCTCATCCGCCGGGTCTGCCTGCTGGTAGTCTTGGACAACCCTGTCAACTGGCGACTCAATTCTTGAAAGTCCGCTTCCGCCGCCGCGACGTCGACGCCAGTGGAGATGTTGCTGTTCCCCCTTGGGTTCGAGGTATTCAGATCCTGGCGCATCTTTTCCGAATCGTCGATTACGGTATCCTCAGGAGCCATAGGAACCGATTCTTCGGGCAATGCCACTTGTTTGATGCGCTTGCTTGGCTTTTTAGGAGTCGTAGTTCGCGCCCCGAAAGGCGAGACGTTAATATTAAAAGTAGAACCCCCCAGATGAACTTCAGCGAAAGGATATAACAATAAAGTTCTCTATATATATAAATAAATAAAAAAGAACAGATAAACCGAAACAGAAAGGGAGCAAAAACCCGACAGCCGTGAAACTACAGATGTCAACGCAGACCAAAAGTTGAAGGACGTTTTTGGAATCTGTCTATCAAAGCAAAGCCCAGCGAAAGGAAGAACCAGTTGCCCTTTTTAACCACTTCCCCATGAACCCTAGGGAGCAAGCAACCATGAGCTAGTCTCGTTCGATAAGCTAGGGGTGCTGGAAAAAAAAAGACCCTTGACTCACAAAGACTGGGTCGAAGAGCCCGCCTTCGCCGGAACAAGATCCTGCAGGAATCCTCAAAGAAGCTGAGGCAGAAAGGATGCACGAAAAGGCCAAAATGCTCCAGATTAAAGTCCCAATCTAGGCAAACTGAGCTAGTGCATTTAGTCACAACGTGAAAAATTCACTTTTTTTCCTCCCCCCTCCCTACACTCCACTCATCTGTAACCATTTTTACTCCGTAGCTAGGGTCCTTTCCCCAATTAACCAATCAATTTTTTCCCCTTCCTCGGTTGTCCGCCAGGACGAGTCCAGCCGTTGGGATAAGGGCACCTTCCGGGAGGTTTCCCTTTTTCCTGAGGCACATCTGTTAATTACTCAGTGGCGCGGGTGTGATGCCGTTATGCAGTGCCCTTCCCCCCCCCCAATCTATCGCTACCGCAATGTTGCACCAAAGCACCCAGTCGGATCGTCCCCAGCTTACGATCCGGCGGCCAACCGATGTGGCTTAATCCTTGGCCCGACAGCCTGTTCGCTTCACACTCCTAACCTGCAGCACAGGATGACTCTCCCCTTCTACGCGAGTAGCCGACGAACGTCATGGAAAATCCAATTTTGTCCAAAATCCCAAACTCGGCCTCGTTGGACTTTAGCCGATCCCAGTGCTTCTCCCCAGCTGGTGCGGGCGGATGCAAATGGGTGCCTACGGTGCCGGATATATCGTAGGTTCGTAATGTCACAGCGGTGCCTCGCCAGCCCCGAGAGATGCCGGTAGCTTTACCACTTGCCAGATCTAGATATGGGAACTATTAATTGTGGTGTAGCCGAGATACCCGAGTATGTACCGCGCTCGTACCCGAGTAGAGTACAGTACCGGTACGGTGCAACCGCACCATTTCAACACATAATTAGGGTACCGGTAACGTTGTCCAAATCTAGCACACGCAAACAAATCAATTCCACAGTTCTATACCCTTGCTGCTCGTAGTAAAATGAACAAGAAAATAGCTATCCCGAGTATTGCCGGTACTCTGCTTCACGCGGCTCCATTAACATTCTCAAGAAAACTCACCAGATGAAGCCGCAAACTGACCCCACACGGGCGAACATACCGGTAATACAAGTACCTTCATCCCCATGTCCATTCTCCACCCGCCCGCTGCGTCGGTCGCCACAAATTTCACGTCCACCGCTAGAGCACACCAATCAGCCAACCCAATACCCGAAACCCCGAAACCCCGGATAAGGCAACGGAAAGACTGGAACGCCGGCTCCCGCACGTAACGAGTCTGACGAAACGGAGCTCCATAGACCACCGGTACTGTACCGGTGCCTGATCGATTTAATCCATCCAGCCGACCAACCAGTCTAAGCCCTACCTGTTGCAGCCAGCGGGAGCCAACCATAACCCGGGTGGGAATGATCCGATACCGCACCCGTACCCACCCCACCAACCCGACACCAAGATCCTTAAAACAGTGTGAATACCGGTAACCGCAAGTGCAAGCTGGGCGCTCGGTACTATGAGTCATCCTACACCGATGATAAGCGCTCATCTGACCTCAATCGGTCGAATCAATCAAACTCGATACGAGTACTTGTACCTAGGCGTCCACACTCCTGCATAAGCATCCACCAGTTCGGTCGGCCTCCTGCGATCCTCGCCAAACTGACGAGTGTCAGTGCGAAGCCGTGGGCGAAAAAGGAAGGAAAAAAGTGAAGATCAAAACTGCACTGTAACAAAAACAAAAGAGAATGAATGATACGGTACACCGTAAACACCAAAACCTTACCAACCCCACTGTCTCCCGTCTGACATTTTGTATTAGTATCTGCTCGGGACCGGATCCCCAACGATCCGAAGCCAGTTATTGTAACCCCATCGGCACTTGTATCTCTTCCTCCTCCGCCAGGACCACTGGATCGACGAAGCTTCATCCAAAAAATTTGCTCTAGGGCTATGGAACCGGCTTCCATCCACATCCGAGATTGGCCCTTCGGATGCATATTTCTTTGCATGATCCGAATTCCGCAGGCCCGTTTCCCGCTTCCGGCCGTAAGCCAGAGTCATTGGCATGTGTTGGCGGTGAGCACCGTATTTACTCGCTAAACCCACCATCCCCCATCGGCCTCGGATCTCCCCGATCAGAAGCAAAAAAACCACCTCGAGACGGGATAATCGTTTCCAATCGGAATAACTTTGGGGGCCGAGCTTTCTAGATCTCGTTAACCAGTATTCGCAATAATGTTTTTAACCTATCCTGCTAAGTCTATTGAGGTTTAGAGAGTGATTCCTTCTGAGATCCCCAATGGTGGATTTAGCCAATCAATGTTGCACCGTAATTTACCGGTTACCGGTACTCGAGAACAGGCGGTGGGTCGGAAGGAAGTACCGATAAGGAAGGAATGACAGCATGGAAGGAAACCGAGGTGAGATGATTGACGGGTTGTGCGTCACTACCACTGCTTTCCCCCACCCCTTTTTGTTTTTTGCACTGATGGATGAGATTCGCAAAGTTTGGTCTCCTACTCCTCAGTTTCACCTCAGAAGTTTGTATCATTAGTCACGATATCTGGGGGTGGAAATTAAGCGTGATGTACGAGTAGCATCACGCGTCACTGTTGAACCACACCTCATTGCATACGGGTAACCAATCGGCCGGAGCCTCAAGATTTTGGTGGTACCGGTATGCAGTAAGAATATGACGAGTACCGTGTCGTTCTCCCAAATACCGTAGTCTAGCTGTGTGCTGCCGGCCTTCTCGGAAGTCCAAAATTTCCTTCTCGGGAAAAGGGCGGGAGGCCCTGCAGGAGGTGAGTCATTCAGCCCCTCTGAAGAGCGTACCGTTATCGTAGGTGAAAGAAAAGAAAAAACAGGCTCTACCAGAGGTGGCAACTCCAACGACATCACAAACCTGTAGTGTACGGTTCAGTCATTTGAGATACTACGCCTGGCGTTGGATATCGTTGGATAGAGCAACCATCAATTTTGGTTTGACTCCTGGCTATCATAAGCTTCCTGTTCTCACCCGCAGTTTTTACTACCGCCCAGTTTTCCACAATTCATCTTGAGGTAAACCTCAAACGACGGTTTCCATATCCAAGATTCTACAGTAATTTAGCACTGTAAAAAAGAAAGAATGGGGTGTAAATAGAGATGTAAGTTGGGGTGGAGCTTCCAATTGAAACTCCGCAGCAGTAACCCCCCCCCCCCTATCACAACCTCCTCGTCATTCTCCTGTCGTGTGTCGCTTGAAATTTTCACCTCAATATGACGAGGTAGAGTTATTTCTCAAAATCGGCACGGTGACCGGCTTAAGTAATCGGGCGCCCCCGTCACGACTGCCTTGCTGCACGATCACCACCTGCTGGGCAGCTCAAAGAGGTAATGTGCTGGGACTTGGCCCTGTAGTTGCATTCTATTCAATTGCATTTCCTTTCCTACTTCTCTCGCTGGTACTACCAGTAATTTGGGTGAATGGACGAGTGGGAACCTACTATAATAGTTTTAGCCATCGACAACCATTAATGGTCATTTCCCCGGGGTGCTTTTGTGAGTCCACGCATTCGGATTCCTTTCCCACCTTCCAGAATCGGGATCCTCCGTCAGCAACGGACTCGTAATTCCTCATATACGGATCGAGGATCGATTAATTTGTTCTTACATACAGGCTGCGAGCAATGGTACGCTAGTCGGGTGTGATACCGGTACACCACAGTATCTTATGTCTCGCCCGACCCGGGACTGCATCGCCAAGGTACGACACGGTAGAGTTACACGGGACAAAACTTAAGCCCACCGTATCGTCTAATACGGTAGTCATTCTACGAGTAGATTCCCCTCCCTCATCCCTTTACCGCCAAGGTACTCACATTGCCAGCCAATCTTCCAACCCCCACGCACAGGAAACCCTTCAGAAGCGCACCCTTTCCTCCACACCAGTACAGTACTTGCAGCAATGCGATATGCAAACATTGGTACCCATCGCTCCGAGGACGCTACCTCGATTCCACGATTGAACATCACATAGTACTATCTAGATTTCGATGGGAATAGGGCCGCCTCGATGCCTCGAACAGGCGTCCGGAGGCCCATGCTTAGAAGCAGTTCTATCGTTATTCTCTCACCGCCACAAACTCTTGGTAAACTCGGCGCGCGGCTCTACTTCTTAAGGTCGCCGCTGCAGTAGTTCTCCCGAGGCTTGATTATAGCAAATGTGCCTTTCTCGGGATAGTTGCCGCCATACTAGGAATAGCGGTGGGTCGGATACCCCCGGAATTTATGGTGCATGCACCATGAGGAATATCGTACGTTCGCGGCCGGTTTCTCGAAAACTTACCGCTACTCTGCCGGTATCCACCGCTATCGCGCAGAAACCGCTACAAGTCACGCTTGTCTGCGGGGTGTTTTGTGCATGATGGCGTATCGCACATCTACGCTGCAGAATTTGAGAGATATAGCATGAACTAATATCAGCGCACTAGAAGGGGAATCGAATGCTAGGACTCCATTAGCGTGAACCTCTATGAGCTCATAAAACCTCTAAAGTAGCTTCTCCCGGTTCCATTCGACACTTTCCCCGCCGCGTTTGTCAGCCCAGGTGATGAGCAATCATGTTAATTCGCCATACAAAACTTCAAAGTCGATATTTGGTTCTGTGCAGATAGCGGCATCATTTACCCTAGCACTCAGGCATGGAGGCTAGTTGGGGTAATAAGGCGTTCAGACTCAGGGCGCAGAATACCGTCAGAGGTGAAAAGTGATCGGGCGTGATAGGAATGATGTTACCAGAGCAAGAGCAACAAGCTTCGGCAACTTGAACCCCCTGTCTATTCCATTGATAACCCCCACACCCGAGTACGAGGGTATTGACGCGCGCGGATGATCGGATAGCCAAGAATTGGAGGTATAATACTCTATATCTCGCTTGCCTGATCAGTTTCCACCCCAAATTCATTCTTTTATTTCCCGGGAGGGTAATAAGTCCAGACCCCCAGAACCGCCCGCCATCGGATCAGCCACGTCCATAGAGTACCCGAGCACAGCACGGTATCATAGCCGAAATCCACCAGACTACCGCAAGAACTCGAACACCGGTGATTGGCACTCGCGCCAGGACGTTGAACTTACCCTTAAGTTACTCGAGTGCAGGTACTAACATGGCACGGAATATTTCTATCCTAAGTCAGGGCTCACGGGTGTCAGTTTTCGCAGTGACCTAACCCCCCTATCCGGGAGAGGGAATTTTGGACGTCTTAGCGCCAGTGCCAATTACAGGTAATCAGTCGCATTATGGTGCGCAATACTCGTTAGCGTATGATATGAACAATAACTACCGTCCTTCTAGCGATGCCACGGCACCGGTATCATTCTCAAGCATGCCAAAGCCCGCGAAACTAGAAGCGTACTCAATCGCGCTAAGATGTCCGTATATCTTCGAGATTCGGTAGTATTGTACTATACAGTACAGTCCCCGAAACATGTTAATGGATCCCATAATTTGCTGTAGCCGCCGTAAGCTTGGTTAGCTGTACCGGTATCGCAGTGGGCTTTCGCAATAGTGCTTCCGGGCGGGGTGATGCACGGTATTTCGGTTCCCCGGTGCCTGCCAGCCTCATGACCACAAGAGTTACTCTATTTTCACCAATGTCGTGGACACCAACAGGAATCGAGTGAGAGGTGTACATAGCGGGTTGATTTCCCTGTCAATCACGATTTTGGGAGCTGCGAGAAAGTTGCCACCTCCCATAACTTTCCCCAACGGTAACGACAGGATAATTTACATACCGGTACTTTCCTCACCACTCTCTCCAACGGTAGTTACCATTTGAGTTTTTTCTTCATCTCTTCTCCGTTTGTCTCACAACTGCACAACCATGCCATATTCAACTATGGTATTACTATCCCCCCATTATCCGAGGTTCTCATATGTTTTTCTTCCTCTCCGAGGCCCCGTCAAACTCCCTCCTCCGAGGGTCCCACTACCGACCTCGGGTTTTTGATATTTCTTTGCTTTCACTTGAGAGTTTGGTTTAGCATAAAAACCCACAGCTGCGCAGGTGGTAAGAAAATCAAGGTTCTTTCTCGTTAGCAGTCATATCAATTCACAGGAAATTCGAGTGATCTTTTGTGCCCAATCCCCGCCAGCAAACCGTGTAATCCTGGATAGTTGAATCCTCCTTTGGGTTGCCCCCCTCTAGTAAGGTTTGGTTGTGTTTTTGGTTGTGTTTTTTGCTGTGTTCTCTGCCCCTTTTCTAAAGCAGGAAATTCCTGACTACACAACACGCTGGCCAACCATCGGAGATTGCATGGTAGGTTAAACGGCCGCACAGCAGCCAGTGCAAAGACGCGTTTCTTGAAAACACGCAGGACGCATTTTGCAGACCACGCACCGACAAATATAAAAGAGATATTTCCGAAAGTTAAGGAATCAAAGCTTGGGGCCAGGGTCCAAATCAGGAGGGAGTTAAATGGCAGAAAGGGGAATAATTCGTGGACTGGTAAGAGGCTCGGGATATTATGGCGGATAGGGGCGCTCATGCCATTATTGACTGTAGCCTGAAGGAGGGTTGCGAGTGCCGGTAGTGGGATGAAGAGAGGTCAGCTGATTGGGATGGGTGTCAATGTTTAAGGGCCTGTTCGGCAACGACCGTTCCGTTCCGTT